AAGAGAGAGGGTCACCCCTCTCTGATTTAGGCCCTCAAAGCCACATTCTCACCACTGAAAAATCCACTGGATTTCAGTGGTAGGAAGTCCAAGCAAAGACTAGCTCGAATGCCTTATGGCATGGCACAAAACAAGCCTAAATAGAGCATGCAAGAGGGTAGATGACCCCAACACCAAAAGAGCCTTAAACAAACATGAAAATCACTTAAATATGAACCTTTTTTTAGTTGATAACAAAGCTCAAATAAGCATGTAAATGAAGCTAAGAGAATGATCAAAATAATGCTTAAAAGAGGGAAAAGTGATTACCCTTGGAGCTCAGCAAAAACAGCCAACTTTGGGACCAAAAACCAACTTTTGAGGCCTCTCAAAGCCCTCCAGCAACTCAGTAACAATGGTGGAGGTGTATGGTTATGAGGTGGTGTGCAATAGGCCAAGAACAAACCACTTTCTAAGCCTAAAACATAGAGACAAAGAGAGAGATATAAGCTTTTTCCTTAGAGCAATTTTTCAACCTAGTATAAGGAGAGGGAGGGCATCTCTTATAGAGTTTCAAAGCCAAAGCTTCTCCAAGAAGCTAAAAACTTGGTTGCAATGTATGGAGGATCCAATCTGTGCCTTCCAGCTGGCACAGCTGGCATGCACTCAGACAGACAAAGCAGGAGGAAGTTAGCCGACCAGAAGAGGTGGTCGGCCAACCACTTTCCCTGGTCGGCTAACTAGGTAAAGTGGTCTCCTAGATAAAAACTAGTCGGCCAGGGCAAATGGTGGTCTCCACTTTTAAAGCAAGCTAGTAGTGTGGTGGGAGACCAGCAAATGTGGCCCAAAGAGCAAGAAAACCAGCTTCCTGACAAGAAAATCGGTTGGCGGGGAGAAAGTGGTTTCCAAGGAGAAAAGGTGGTCTCCCACCCTTGTACCACCTCCCAAACAAGGAAAACAAGGTTCATGCCAAAAATGAACCAACATGGATGCAAAACGAGAGTTCGGGGGGCAAAGCGCGCGGCCGGGTGCCCCAAAAACTGGTTGTTAAGCACCAAAAGTGGTGTACGGCCACAAAAGTGGTCTCCCGGGCCACAGTGTCCCTCTAGATAGAGGAAACAAAGTGTGTTCCAAAAACCGTGCCAAACGGAGAATGTTAAGCGGTCCCGAACCGAGGCGTACAGCCGATGGCTCCGAAAACCAGAAACTAGTCTCCAAACGGGAACAGTGGCCTACGACTGTGAAAAGTAGCCCACGGCCACTGATAGATGGTCTACAAGACCTCTCCCTCCCTCCGGAAAGAGAAAACAAGACTTAGTCCGCAGACCGAGTCAAAGTATAAAGAGTCCCGAGGTTCGGAGGTGAGGCTCTCAGCTAAGAACTCCGAAAGCTCGAAACGAGCACAACATGCGCAATCACCGAGCGCTCAATCGATGACGTCTGAGTCTTAAGATCGGTAAAAAATGGGGTGTCTGCAGGGTGAATTTTTGGTGGGATTAGGAAAATAGTGAGGGGATTGAGATTATTTTATATAATTTTTTTTATTTTTATTTTTTTGACCAAGTGCACTTGTTTGTTTTAATATTTTTTTAGTTTTTTTTAATATAGAAATAATTTATTTATTTATTTTATATCGAAATAATTTAACAATTCCATCATTAACCATTTCCTACACTATTATCAAAACAATCACACTTTTATTTAATCCCCTCATTAACAATCTCTTCACTAACAATCTTCTCACTAACAATCCCATTCAACTTAATTCGCCAAACAAACGTGGCCTGAAGATCTTATACACAATACTTGACCAATTGAAAATCTGAATGGCATATAACAAAATTTGTGTGTGTTTGTGTGTGTGTGTGTGTGTGATATATATATATATATATATATATAAATTTTATACAAATTTTCAAAAGGAGAAAGAACTTATCCGCAATTGTACAATACATGGGGTGCAATTTATGCATATTCTTGGATCCACCATGCAATCAATAAAACTCATTGGCAACTCCATAGTCAGATTTTTGAAAAGAAAAAAATAAAAATAAAAATAAAAATAAAAATGGAAAGAAGAAGCTAAAAAATAAAAATAAAAAAATTCTTTAAGGTGCATATATAAGCTATTGGGCCATAAAGGTTCATCCATGTTAGAAGAGATAAGAAAAACAAGGGTACCTCCAATGTGATCAATAAGAGAAATAAGGGGTACCTCTAATGTTCATCCAAGATCCAGGCATTGCAATAACCAAATCAGAATTGTGTGGTATCAGTGAATCCTCACAAACAAATCAAGATCCATAGAAGCATCACCTTTCATGTACATACAAAAAATCTCCAACCAAGATTATAATGAAGTTCTTATACAGATTATAATGAAAGCAAAAGATATGTTTGCATTGTATATTGCACTGAAATCATAAAGAATGGATAAGAGAATGAATCAAAAAGACTAGAAATCAACCTGCACATTCAATGTTTTCCACACAATGAATAAGGAAACAACCTGGAATTGCAACCCAAAGCATATTAATCAGCAAAAATAAATACATTGTCCTTACTAGAACCAGCAAAAGTACCACATCGATCTGCAAAAGACAGTTTACACTAATGATATCTAATAAGAAAGCAGATTCACATATATATATAATCAAACAAATCAAAATCACTAATAATAAAACAAAATAGAAATGGCTTGCTTTAAACCTTGTTAATCAGTAGATCTAACAAAATGTGAGAGAGATCAGATCAGATCAAGTTCAGACTTCGATCAGATTAGATCGACTTTCTTGTTTCATTTCGGATCTGCGATTTGCGAGAAAGATCAAGTTCGATGAAGAACAGCTAGAGCGAGAGAGATTAGATTAGATCGAGTTTGGATTTCGATCAGATTAGATTGGCCTTCTTGAAACACACGTTGATTATTGAGATATATCACTGTATTTTTAAAAATGTCTTGATACAAGCGCCATCATAGACAACTTTTCTTGTAGTGGCTATAGGCCTAAAAAACACCGCTGTAGGCCTAAAAAATAAATACAAGAACACATGTAAACTGCAATGAGCATTGAATCAGACAATATCAAGAAAGAAATAGTAAATTCTTGGTTGTACTTTTGAATTTCTGACTTAAAATTGCATACCCATATAACATAATAAATCATGAAAATCATGCCAAGAAAAGACAGTAAATTTATAAGAAAGAACATTCGTGTCTTACAAGACCAAATACTTTAGTAGCTCACATGGAGTCTCTGCCACTAACTTGGATGGATCATAATTGTTCTGGAATACAACGAAGGTAAGTTACAAAAAATTCTTAGCCAATATAACAATAAGCAAAGTGAAACCAAATACTCATCAAGAACTTAAAGCAACTAGAGAATAAGAAATTGGTTAAGCAAAATGAAACCAAATACGCATTAAACCAACATCTAATCCCAAATATCTCAAGATTGTTGACACAGATTTAATCAATCAATCAACCAAACAAAAATGCACATTGCTTTTTGTTCGAATTTTTTGTATTGCATCTAAAAAATGTACTTTTTTTATTCAAATTTTCGTTTGTTTTTTTGTGAATTTATTTTTTAGTCAATTAAAGGAAAATTCATATAAAAATAGTTTTGAAAACCTTTTATTAGCTAGTATCCAAAAATTTCAACAAAAAATTCTAGCAACCAAACACTTTCAAAACCAAGCCAATTCAAACAATGGCCCTTCCATATAGCCCTAAATTTTACAAGCTTTCCTTAATCATCACTGTTCCTAGTCCATGAAACTACCTAATATAGCTCTGTGTACAGGAAATTGAATCAACAATTTTGGATCAACACAACACAAATGGCTATAACAGCTGAAATCACAATTGAAACAGTAAGAGTAGAGAGAGAGAGAGAGAGAGAGAGAGAGAGAGAGTTAGTTTGGGGAATGGGGGACTTACGTTCAAGGGTGATTTTCCTGAAGTCCATGAGACGATGAATTATAATCAGACTTGGACATGGTTAATCAAACTCCAAATTCTCACTTAATATATATCGAAATCGTATGGTTTTCAGTCCCGGTCCCTGTCTTGATCTCGATCTATGATCTCGATCCTTCTTTACTCCTCGGTTTCATAACCTTGTGTTTGTGCAACTCAACCGGTCCATCTTCCTCCACAAAATTATTAAAATCAGAATCAAGAAAAACAAAAAACAGTCAAGAAATTTCAACCAAATCGATTCAAGAATTGATGGATTTGGAATTAGATATGAACAAGTAATCGAAATCGAACCTGGTGAATCTCTCAGGGAGCACGAGGAGAGACAGAGAGAACCCTAGATCTAGGACGATGAGAGAAAACGATATAGAGAGAAAACGAAATGACGGAAAAAGAAATGGAGACTGAGGGAGCTGGAGCACTGTTATAAAGTGAAATGCATGTTTGTAAAAGGGTAACGTGTGTCTTTTAATTTCACTTTATGTCTTCTACAACGTTTTTAAAAAAACGTTGTCTAAAAAATATGGTCATAGACAACGTTTGTTGTGGTGATTATTGTTAGCAGTAAATAATTTGTTGCGGGTGTGTCTCAAATTCAACCTGGATTTAGCTTATTACCACTTGGCGATTCACGCAACCCAATTAATGTGCAATTGGTGATGTTTGTTCCAATCCAGTATTTGTATTTGGGTCTATTTTGACTTGATTAGCTATTTTTGAATCCTTGTATATATTGGATCATTTCAAAGATATTACGGTTTAGATGACCATTTGATAGATTTTCTATAACATAGGATTATTAAGAGAGAGAGAGAGAGTCAACTCATTGTAATTTTTACATTCATAGTAAAACACATCTTGTTATTATTTGCCCGTGTACATAAGCTCATAGCCCAAAGATAAATCTTTGTGTGCTTGTGTTTGTTCTATTTTAATTTCTTCTTATCTTCGTCTTTACCATAATAATAACAATGGACATATTTATTGTTATGGTGGCGATTGTTATTGTTGTTTATATTTGTATTACAAATATATGTGACTGGACAAAGAATACAATAAAACATATATTAACTACAAAAGGGTTTTCATAAATACACACTGAAACTCAAAACTTGAATATCTTTCTATTTAATCTAGAAAATGGCACCTTCAACTCATTGACTAAAAATGCTTGGGCCATATGTAGATTTTATCATGTTTAGAAGGGGTGGTAATTGCAATGTTGCAAACAAGGCCACCGGTAGACAAGCCAATGTGGCAACTGGAATTAGAATCAAGGCATTTTCCTTGGAAAACACTAGATAGAGTGTGGCACTGAAGGCTGTCATCATGGTTATTACTGAAAGGAATAGCGCCAATAGGCCGATTATTAATCTCATTGGCAAGGCATACAGATAATCAATTACTGCATAGCGCGAAGTGAAAATTGACAAGAAGGACAACACCGTGGAGAGAGCTGAAACAAGGGCAAGTCCATCTGATATGGCAAAGACTATAAAGGCTTTTTTTTTGGAGAAAATTGGGAATCCATCAACTGTGCTCCCTCCTGGAACTGTGATAGCTGCTGCAAAAACAACTGTGGCAATGAGTGACGCTGCAACCGTGCACGATGTTGCCATGCCCATCATCCATTGCCCTTCATATGCCATCAATTCCTTGTGTTCTTCAATGAATATTTGCAATGGTGTCTTCCCATCACAGTTCTTGGATTTTCTTTCTTGAGGTAGCACAAACTTCTCCACTACCTGTATTAGTTCAGTTGACCATGGAATCACAGAGTAAGCTTGACATGTTTTGGGGTACATGTTGGCGGAAAGCTAACAATTACGGGCTTTAAACCCGAGTGTTGAGTTTGGCTGACCCCTGGGTTTGGTGCTTTTCGACAACTATTTTTTGTTTTTAATTGGTTTGATCTGGGTAGCCTGGTGGGTCTTTGTCTTTCCTACAAAAAAATCTAATTGTCCTAATGATGATTTAAGGTTTCCACTAGATTTTTACTCACCCGAATAATATAATCTATTTAGCTATAGTTGTACAAGGTCACTGCAAAAAATAATATGAATCCACCATGGATCATGCTTTAGATTTTTGATGTATCAGGAGCTTAAAACACAATCTGAACAAAATGAATCAATGTTCCACTCTTTTTGTCAATACAATTTCTTATGTGAAAAGAGTGGCCTTAACTGTTATATTTGTTTGGTTGAGTTTTCAAAACTTATTTTTTAAAATCTTTTACATAAAAAATATAAAAAAAAAAGTTTGAAAAAAAATAAATACCAAAACATAAAATATTGAATTTTCAAAAAATTATTTCCTCTAAAAAAAAAGGAAGTCATATGAAAATAATGAGTGTTTTTTTTTAAAAAAATTTTTGTTATTATTTTTTTAATAAATTTTTTACAAAACTAATTTTTAAATTAAAAAAAAAAAAAACTGCTAGGTGAAGGATGGTAGGTGGTGGTGGGTACTATTCTTGTGCCTGTATTTATGTTTGACCCAATTAACTAAAAGCAAACTTTGGAAAAATTAAGAAATATGGTACTTCCTAGGTGGATTTTTGAAAGAGATTTATTACCTTAAACCATTGTAATTCACGCTGCATTTGTAGAACTGCCCCAGAAGAGAAATCGAGGCGTTGTTGGCGAGCCTTATATCCAACCAAATGGAGCATATTATTTCCATCATTGTCTGGTAACAAAGATAATAAGAATTTATATTGCCCACTTCGCTGATGCATGACCTTGAAAACTTTTTCATGACGGTACATAACTGCGAGATGGAATGCAGTGTGGTTTTCTTCATCTACGAACGTAATTGCATCGGGAAATGAGTCCAAAATTTCTTTGACAATTTCATGAATCCCATACTGTGCTGCTAAAAGGAATGGCAATCTAAGTATGGAGGAAGCTTTTGTGTTGTCTAGACCTATAACTTCCCTGCATATTCTTTTGACAAGATGAATTGCTTGATGATGCATCATTTTTGTCTGACCAATTCGGTTGATTGGTGGCACTGCAATTATAATGAACTCTTTTTTTTGTCAGTCGGTAGGAGATTATTTATAAATATGAGATTATAATGTTTTGATCAAATTATGTGAGCATTTAAGTGGTTGCTTTATCTATCCTTACCTGATGTTTCAAGGACTTTCCATAGAACTACATGGAATTTTTGCCACACTACAAACAACAAAACCAAGTCAGGTAAAATTGGTCAATACATACTGAACTGCGGTTACCTATTGGGTTTTTCGAAAAATGGTTAAGAAAATCAAAATCATTGAGTTGCAAATGAGTAAAAAAAATGATTCCACATACCAAAATATTTATTTGAATGTGACAAATTGAGTTTGAGAGAGTCAAAAAATGCATATATCATTAGAGCAATTGATAGTGATTTTTGAAAATTCTCTGACTACGACACTCAATTCCCAATGATTGATACTCCAATACTGCTTAGACTCCGTAACTAGTTCTTTTTGTAATTTTTTATTTTTAGTTAATAAAAGGGTAATTTCAAATCTAACAATGATAGAGACCTCCGCAACCCCCAAAGTGATCCATACCGTTTATGATGTGGGCCTCACACATACATGAGTAGGTCCCACACATCATGAGTAATGTGAATTACTTTGGGAGTTGTGGGGTCCTCCAAAAAGGAGTCTCACTCATTTTTCTTTTAAATCAGTGATTGTTTGGTAATATATTTTCAAATTAATGGTAAACTTATAAATATTAAAAAGTAAAATTATAAAATTGTAAATAGTTCTTGCAGATACCTCTGGGGTGTAAATTTCCCTTAATAAAATCTTTTCTTTGCTGATCAATTTTTTTTTTCTTTGATATATGTGAAAATGTAACTATGCATGGCACAACCTTCCTCGGCCAACTCAAAATCTCAATTGAGATCTCGAGGGAGAAAGCTGAGATGAATAAAACCATAGCGAGAAATTTGAACCAATATTGGACTAGATTTTTGGCAAATCTAAGCAGTTCTAACTTATTTCTCAAATCCATGGTGTTTTGTGAAGTGAAACAACTTCAATTAATTTATTATAATTTGTTTTTGAAGTGATATTTTAAAAAACACGACTTGAAGAAACAACGTGGATTCGGGTGCATGAGAACAGTTTCTGTCTAAAAAGGTTGCAAAATTTGGTGTAAGAGAGGAGGAAGTATTCTTCACAAACCTGATATTAATTGCTTACAGCCAAAAATTGGAGCACAACAGCGCCCATGGTGTGGCACTTGAGATTGATCATTTCCTTGATTGGGATCTATTAATTTCAAAGGGACACCTAGAAAACAGAACACACAGACCATTCAAATAATCTACTTTTCAAAGTAAATTTTGTGCGTCTTTTCTCCAAAAATAAACAGTAGCTGTTAACATCATAAAAAGAATAGCGGAAGGCTTCTCTCCAGTCCATAAGTGGATTGAGGGTGTTGTTGGCCCATGGTGGGTCTAGATTAGAGTCTATTTTGATAATTCAAATCGTCTAATGCGTAGGGTATATTGAATATATCATTATCGTAAAAAAATTACATTGATCGGATATCGACAACCAATTGATCAGATCCCATTTGTATTTACAGTTTATTTTTAAAATCATACTTTTTGTTAACACAAACATAATCTGATCAAGTGACTATCGATATCCGATCAGTATGATTTTTTTACAAGAATAATGTACTCGACAAACCCTATATATTAAATAGTTTAGATTATCAAGATCGACTTAGAATAGAGCTCACCATAAGCCAATGGCACCTTTCAATCCCATTACAGACTATACAGAGCCAAACTAATATTAGTGACTCCGTTTTTTTTTTCTTTTACGAAACAATATTTTTAGTAAACAATATTTTCTTATATTTAATTGTGATTTTGAAACTTATATGTTAATAATTATATTAGTAATGGAGTTAGTGGTGGTGATGTGGTATAGGTAGTGGTGGTCACGTTCAGGGGTGGCCCAACCGTTTTGGTGGCCAAAGGCAATATATTAAAGTGAGGCCTTTTTAATATTTAAAAATTAATTATAATTTTTAATATTTTATTTCATTTAAATTAAATTTTATATTTTTCTGATGCAAATTATTAAAAAAAAAAATATTGTAATATGCATTTTTTTTTGTTTGATAAAATGAACTAATCCATAGTCTTTGTTGTGACCTAATTTATCTTAAATACGATTAGATAAGATTTTGGAAAATTTCTTTCGGCAATAGTATTGTTAATAATATTTTACAAAAATGTATGTATTAAAAAAAGATCTAGTTATATATATATATATATATAATATAAGCAAATACGTAATTAGATGTTTGACGCTTGAAGTGCAATCCTTTTGTTTTTCATTTTTTTGATTTTTATAATTTTCAAAATACACATGTCAATCTTACAATTAATCTAAAATCTAATTGTTAGGTTTTTATAATTGACAATCCCGTTTAACAAAATTCCTTTAAGTGAGAATGTGAGTTATTAGATGCGAATTCAACTCGAATTGTGCCTATACAGAAGAGTTTGTGATCTTGATCCTTTCATTTTTGCCACTTCGCCCCGAAGAAAAAAGTAAAAATGTAGGCGAAGTTATTTAATTGCTCGAGTGGTTATTTGTGCGCTCGAGCGGAAAAAAGGATCACCTAGTATTTTTGCAAAACGTCTGAACTTTGGGGAAGCAAGTTTTACCGCTCGAGCGGTCAGCCTATATGTTTTATACTGTCTTTACTCATATCGCTTGAGCGGTGAAGTGTACGCTCAAGTGGTTTTCGTGATCCAATTTACTATAAAGTGCGTTGTTTGCATGTTTTAGGGTTTGAACTGTCCAAATTTTCTGAGAGGAAGAAAAACAAAGCGTTTTATATTGGAGGGTGCTTTATAAGTGTTTTCTTGGTGGTTTAAGAGTGATTAATAAATCCATGAATTTTATATCAACATCATCAAGGGATTTATTTGTTTTCTTTTATTCACAAAAGAGAGAGTTGTTTTTGGTGAATTTTGGGAAACTTGTGCCTGAAACTTTGGTGGATTTCAAAGTGACTCATCGTCGTGGATTCGACATCAGCGTTGTGGATTTAACATTGGGCAAGACAATTCCGAGGTGAAGACGGTGGTAGAAGAGGCACATCGGAGTCGGTTCAATTTAGGTGTGGATTTACTAGGTAATTGAGAGTACATATGTGTAATTTTTTTGTCTTCTTATTGGATTGTTTTGTAACTTCTGCCCGTAATTTTTTTTTATCACAATTGGAGATGCTCCAATTGTGATTTTTTCATATTAAATTGTTGTGTCAATTTGTCTTTGATTGTTTGATTGAGATTATTATTCATTATTTAAAATTGAAACATAATTACAAATCAATATCTCAAAGAATTTATTTATTTTCCACTAATTTAAGTAAATTAAATAATATAACAACAGTTATGGAATTACAATTACTCAATATACCATAGTAGAATCAATAATTAAGGACACGACAAAGACTTAATTCAAAAGACTTTCCAATTTCTCTGAATTTGTAATTTTTATAATTTTTAGGGAGACTTACATGTAGGTCATAATAGATTGTCCAATAGGTCCTATGATAATTAATGACATTTTTCATCAAGACTATTAAAAAACGTGATCGATTGTTAATTTTCAGCGACAGTTTGAAAATTGTCACAAAAATGTCACTAATTATAAGTTTTAGCGACAGTTTAAAAAAATCGTCACAAAAAAAGAAAAAAATTCTAATTTTCAATTTTCAACGATAGTTTGAAAAATTTGTTATAGAAAAATGTCACTAATTGTAAGTTTTAGCAACAATTTATAAAAAAATCATGACAAAAAAAGTCACTAATTGTTAATTTTTAGCCACGTGTAAAAAATCGTCAAAAAAATTTATTTTTTGCAACTATTTTACTATGACTTATTCTCAATAGGATTTGATAAGAATTAAGTCAAACTATTAGGACCTATTGACAGTTTATCTTAATTTTTAAAAAACACGTGTCATCTTACAATTGGTCTAAAAATTAATTTAGCTAAATTAAAATAACATTTAAATGCTCCTAATGAATTCCAATAGAATAACAATAGTTATGAAATCACAATCACTTACTATCATAATAGAATCAATAATTATGAAAATGATAAAGACTTAATTCAAAAGATTTTTCATTACCTTAAATACTCACATATTTTTCCTCTACCTTTGTAGAGGGTCAAAAATTAAACCCCAAATTAAATATGGGCCAAAGTGCTGAGGTCGTCCTTCTGAGGCGACTAGGAATGAAAAAGGAGCATGGGCTAAAGCCCAAGGAAAGTGGTCCAACAGTGGGCCAAAGCAGGTCCGACCCGCCAAGGGTCCAAACAGACTCTATGAAGAAAAATGCCTTAGTCAAGTTGCAGAGGCAACACATGCAACGATCAAGTTGCTGAGGCAACACATGCAGCGGTAGAGTTGCTGAGGCACTTTACCTCAGCACCGCCATTCATAATATTGTCAGTTCTGTCGCCCTCTGAAGTTGTTGAGTTGCTAAGGGAGAGAGAAAGCTGAAGCAACTAAGTTGCGGAGGCAGCACTTGCGATGGCCAAGTTGCAGAGGCACTTTATCTCAGTGCTACCGTTTCAAGTATTGTCGGTATCGCAGCCATTTGGAGTTGCTAAGGGAAGGAGAAAGCCGAAACAACTAAGTTGCAGAGGTAGTACTTGTAGCGCCCAAGTTGCGGAGGTATTTTTTCGGCGCCGCCGTTTCTAATATTGTTGGTTCTACCATTTGAACCTACCACGGGAAATGACTGCTGCAACAACTACAGCAGCCGCAACTAGTATGTAGAGGGAACATCCCGCCAAGGTGATAACAGCCTTTGGGAGAAGCATCTCCTCTGCAAGTAGAGGCTAATGCTGGGTGCTGATAGCAGGCCCCAAGGCATTACTAGCCTAGGGCTGGTAGCAGGCCCCAATGTTCATTAACTTGGCACTGATAGCAGGTCCCAAGACTTACTGGTTGGAGCTGATAGCAGGCAAAAAGATATTATTTTATCGCGGCGATCTCGCGAAGATGGGAGCTGGGCAGCTCGAGTGTAAGGAACTCCTTTTCCATTGCCTAGGTCATGGACCTACCTTAGTCGCATACGCAGGACTAAGAAAGCCCCGTTGGGCTTGGTACTAAGGCACAGCATGGCTAATAGCAGGCCTAGTTGTGGCCTTTGCCCTGGAAAGCTAGGGAGCTTGTGGTTAGGTGGCTAAGGGTAGAGGTTTCGCTGCGGTGAACACGAACATAGCCAATAGCAGGCTAATGGAATCCTGAGAATGGATGGGAGCTGGGCAGCTCGAGTGTAAGGAACTCCTTTTCCATTGCCTAGGTCATGGACCTACCTTAGTCGCATACGCAGGACTAAGAAAGCCCCGTTGGGCTTGGTACTAAGGCACAGCATGGCTAATAGCAGGCCTAGTTGTGGCCTTTGCCCTGGAAAGCTGGGGAGCTTGTGGTTAGGTGGCTAAGGGTAGAGGTTTCGCTGTGGTGAACACGAACATAGCCAATAGTAGGCTAATGGAATCCTGAGAATGCATGTATTGGATAAATAGAACAGAGAAGGCAAGTGAAGCAGCAAGGTTTACCGTTGCAAGTACACTTGTTGAGGTTCGAGCTGAGAAGGCAAGTGCAGCAACAAACACTTTCGCCGCAACTGCACTTGCTGAGGCTCAAAATGGGAATTGTAGTGCCAAACACGCCCGTCTCAACTACACTTGCTGAGGCTCAAAAAAGTAGTTGCGGAGGCAAACATATAGTACACAGTACATGCAGAGGGAAACGTGACACCTTTAGCCTGGTGGCTTAAGTCAGAATATTTTGTGTGATCCTTAGGGACACCTGTCTTGTCTCTATTTGGCCACTTGGTGTCCTCTTGATACCAAGGAAAAGCCTATAAATAGGACCCATTGCCTAAGGTCCAAAGAGAGGAATTTTGAGGATGTGGGGGAGACGTTGCCCATTTTGGCACTGCCATTGTCTTCTTTTTCAGTTGCCTACTTCACCCTCACCCAGCTGCACACTCTCTAACTACCCAGGCAGTTACTGTTGCTCATCTTCCAACCATTCCATCACTCTTGGACTATTAACATAGTTTTGACTCTCTAATCATCTTCCTAACCTTAAACCCCCCTACATTTTTGGCAACTCCGTTGGGGGGGCTGCTTTGTTAATGGTTCATACCCGCAGTGGTTTACACACTTCACTAGAAAAAATGGCAGAGGATGAAGTTCAGCAACCCCCATAGCAGCAAGGCTCTTCCAATGGCAGAGCA